ACAGAAATGTTAAAAGCAGGGGGGATATAGTGTTGGAGTGGTTGGTACTTTGTTTAATAAATGTATGAAAGAGGGGAAGGTACCTAGGGATTGGCAGAGAGCATGTATATGTCCCTTTATATAAAGGGAAAGGGGACAAAAGAGATTGTAAAAATTATAGAGGAATAAGTTTACTGAGTATACCAGGAAAAGTATACGGTAGGGTTATAATTGAAAGATTAGAGGTAAGACAGAATGTAGAATTGCGGACGAGCAAGGAGGCTTCAGAGTGGGTAGGGGATGTGTAGATCAAGTGTTACATTGAAATAATATGTGAACAGTATTTAGATAAAGGTAGGGAAGTTTTTATTGCATTTATGGATTTAGAAAAGCATATGATAGAGTGGATAGAGGAGCAATGTGGCAGATGTTGCAAGTATATGGAATAGGTGGTAAGTTACTAAATGCTGTAAAGAGCTTTTATGAGGATAGTGAGGCTCAGTTAGGGTGTGTAGAAGAGAGGGAGAATACTTCCCGGAAAAGTAGGTCTTAGACCAGGGATGTGTAATGTCACCATGGTTGTTTAATATATTTATAGATGGGGTTGTAAAAGAAGTAAATGCTAGGGTGTTCGGAGAGGGGTGGGATTAAATTATGGGAATCAAATCAAAATGGGAATTGACACAGTTACTTTTTGCTGATGATACTGTGCTTATGGGAGATTCTAAAGAAAAATTACAAAGGTTAGTGATGAGTTTGAGAATGTGTGTAAAGGTAGAAAGTTTGAAAGTGAACATAGAAAAGAGTAAGGTGATGAGGGTATCAAATGATTTAGATAAAGAAAAATTGATATCAAATTGGGGAGGAGGAGTATGGAAGAAGTGAATGTTTTCAGATACTTGGGAGTTGACATGTCGGCGGATGGATTTATGAAGGATGAGTTAATCATAGAATTGATGAGGGAAAAAAGGTGAGTGGTGCGTTGAGGTATATGTGGAGTCAAAAAACGTTATCTATGGAGGCAAAGAAGGGAATGTATGAAAGTATAGTAGTACCAACACTCTTATAGGATGTGAAGCTTGGGTGGTAAATGCAGCAGCGAGGAGACGGTTGGAGGCAGTGGAGATGTCCTGTCTAAGGGCAATGTGTGGTGTAAATATATTATGCAGAAAATTCGGAGTGTGGAAATTAGAGAAGTGTGGAGTTAATAAAGCATTAGTCAGAGGGCAGAAGAGGGGTTGTTGAGTGGTTTGGTCATTTAGAGAGAATGGATCAAAGTAGAATGACATGGAAAGCATATAATCTAATAGGGGAAGGAAAGAGGGGTAGGGGTCGTCCTCGAAAGGGTTGGAAAGAGGGGGTAAAGGAGGTTTTGGTGGGTGAGGGGCTTGGACTTCCAGCAAGCGTGCGTGAGCGTGTTAGATAGGAGTGAATGGAGACGAATGATACTTGGGACCTGACGATCTGTTGAGTGTGAGCAGGGTAATATTTAGTGAAGGGATTCAGGAAACCGGTTATTTTCATATAGTCGGACTTGAGTCCTGGAAATGGGAAGTACAATGCCTGCACTTTAAAGGAGGGGTTTGGGATATTGGCAGTTTGGAGGGATATGTTGTGTATCTCTATACATTATGCTTCTAAACTGTTGTATTCTGAGCACCTCTGCAAAAGCAGTGATAATGTGTGAGTGTGGTGAAAGTGTTGAATGATGATGAAAGTATTTTCTTTTTGGGGATTTTCTTTCTTTTTTTTTTTGGGTCACCCTGCCTCGGTGGGAGACGGCCGACTTGTTGAAAAAAAAAAAAAAAAAAAAAAAAAAAAAAAGAAGTAGGGTAGACAGTTTTAGCAGAGGACCAGTCAATAGGTTGACTGTGATCTCTAACTTGATAGAAAAGAGCCTTATTGGTATCGGCATTCCTAATACTTCTTTTGTGTTCTTTGAGTCTATGTATACTGGCTACCTCACTCTTTTCTGTTAATGTGACTTTGTAAATGGTCCAAGTCAGACCAAAACGTTATTGTAAGCTCCTCTCTCCTATGTGCGGGTTATTTGTGTATTCTAGTTCCTACCATCTATGAAACTATAACTCTACTTAACTCTTTTGCGATCAGTGCTGCAGTACTATACTTCTGAGGTCAGGGTCAGTGCTGCAGTATTAAACTTCTGAGGTCAGGGTCAGTGCTGCAGTGCTATACTTCTGAGGTCAGGGTCAGTGCTGCAGTATTATACTTCTGAGGTCAGGGCCAGTGCTGCAGTGCTATACTTCTGAGGTCAGGGTCAGTGCTGCAGTACTACACTTCCAAGGTCAGAGTCAGTGGTGCAGTACTACACTTCTGAGGTCAGGGTCAGTGCTGCAGTACAGCCTCCCCCTCACTTAATGATGGAGTTCTGTTCCTAAGACCACATGGGTAAGTGAGGAGCATACTATAATGGTAGTAGGTTTGTGTCAACCACCTTTGCACCATTTATAACATTTCTGGTATATTTTTAAGTGTTTATACAGCAGTGTACTGTATATTGCAATAAACAAAAAAGAAGAAATCAGCTCTAACACACATTACATATTTAGGTATGCATACTGATCAGAGAGCCTGTCATAAGTCTGAGTTGTTGGTAAACAAGTACGTCGCTAAGTGAGGAGAGGCTGTACTATACTTCTGAGGTCAGGGTCAGTGATCCAGTGCTACTCTTCTGAGGTCAGGGTCAGTGCTGCAGTACTATACTTCTGAGGAAAGGGTCAGTGCTGCAGTACTACACTTGAGGTCAAGGTCAGTGCCACAGCAGTACAATGCTGAGGTCAGGGTCAGTACTGCAGTACTACACTGCTGAGGTCAGGGTCAGTGCCACAGTGCTACACTTCTGAGGTCAGGGTCGGTGCCACAGTACTAAAATGCTGGGGTCAGGGTCAGTGCCACAGTATTACAATGCCGAGGTCAGGGTTAGTGCCGTAGTACTATGCTTCTGAGGTCAGGGTTAGTGCCATAGTACTATGCTTCTGAGGTCAGGGTCAGTACTACGCTTCTGAGATCAGGGTCAGTGCCGTAGAACTACATGATGAACTCAGTTCACTCAGATAAGCTGTGAGCATTAAATTTTATCAAAGATATGAGAGAGTGGGGCTATGTGGTGAGTGTGCCCCACATAAAAAATCTTGTCCCATGCAGTGCATGACAGGTAAAACTGATGTGTGTAGGGTTGAAAATAGCAACTTTGCAGCGAATTTTTGAATGGTTTTCACAGTTTTATTCTCGATTTCTTGGTTTCATTTGACAGAATGGAAGATATATTACAGAAGCAGTGATGATTTTGATTGGTTTCAAGACTGGAAGTAGCTTGAAATTGAGCTCAAAGTATCAGAAATATTAAATTTTGCCAATATTGCAGAGTACATGTATATAAATAAGGGCAATGTGTGGTGTGAATATTATGCAGAAAATTCGGAGTGTGAAATTTAGGAGAAGGTGTGGAGTTAATAAAAGTATTAGTCAGAGGGCTGAAGAGGGGTTGTTGAGGTGGTTCAGTCATTTAGAGAATGGATCAAAGTAGAATGACATGGAGAGCATATAAATCTATAGGCCAGTGTAGGGGAAGGAAGGCAGGGTAGGGGTCACCCTTGAAAAGGTTGGAGGGAGGGGTAAAGGAGGTTTTGTGGGCGAGGCGCTTGGACTTCCAGCAAGTGTGCACGAGTGTGTTAGACAGGAGTGAATGGAGACAAATGGTATTTGGGAACTGACGAGCTGTTGGAGTGTGAGCAGGGTAATATTTAGTGAAGGGATTCAGGGAAACCAGTTATTTTTATATAGCCGGACTTGAGTCCTGGAAATGGGAAGTACAATGCCTGCACTTTAAAGGAGGGGTTTGAGATATTGGTAGCTTGGAGGGATATGTTGTGTATCTTTATATGTGTATGCTTCTAAACTGTTGTATTCTGAGCACCTCTGTAAAAACAGTGATTATGTGTGAGTGAAGTGAAAGTGTTGAATGATGATGAAAGTATTTTCTTTTTGGGGATTTTCTTTCTTTTTTGGGTCACCCTGCCTTGGTGGGAGACGGCCGACTTGTTAAAAAAAAAAAAGCAATAACAACAATAACAATTTTTATTTTAGCATGATACATGTTTATATAAAGGAGTGTAACAATTTGGTGAACATGCCAAAAGCTCCTTAATATGCAGAGTAGTTTGGGCAAACTTAAGATTAACTTAAGATTAATAAGGCAATAACAGTGATGTAGTTGCACATATGGTCATTAGGTGAGCTCCAGTGAATACAGTAGTACTTTAAAAAACTTCAACAAACTAAATTAAAGATTATCACGAGAAGCCCCAGTTAATACAACCCAAAATATCATTGAAGGCCACTAAAAGACATTGGTCCTCAAAAGATTAATAATAAAAACTATATACTGTATACTATAGAAACATATATCTGTGCTTGCACTCCTCAGAGAAGGAATGGAATTCATTAATTGTTCAGAGTTCATTTTTTTAAGTCTACAATAATGTTTTTTTTTTTTTTCAATAAGTTGGCCGTCTCCCACCGAGGCAGGGTGACCCAAAAAAGAAAGAAAATCCCCAAAAAGAAAATATTTTCATCATCATTCAACACTTTCACCACACTCACACATTATCACTGTTTTTACAGAGGTGCTCAGAATACAACAGTTTAGAAGCATACACATATAAAGATACACAACATATCCCTCCAAATTGCCAATAATGTATAACAAATAAAATGCAACAGTAATTATAAACCATACTGCATTTTCAAGAATTAAGCATGAATGACAACTTTAAAACCTCAAGTCATCATTATATTTTTAAGAATTTTATTTCCAAGGTTCCATTATTATCTTCTTATGCATATTATGTCTGTACATGTGTAGTGCTATTGCTGTTTGTGAATAGTCAAAAACTAAATGATAGTATTCTAAATGCTAGCTGTAAGCTACTAAAATTATCCAGACATTTGTACCAAAAGGTGCTTGAGAGGCACAAACAAATTGTAAACATTTCACTAAC